ACCTACCTTTTATTATCCAGTGTATTTTCCTACTTTCTTGCAACTTCCATTTTAACTTTTATATAAGAAATAAGACAGCTAGAAACTTACTGCTGTTTCAGGCAAAAATAAAACAAGAAATGGATAATGTCTGGGAAAAATAAATAAGATCCTTACTTCTCAGCATGGACAAAAATAAACTTCAGGTAGGTAAAAGTGAAATCACAGAAGAACCTAAGAAAATAATCTGTATGTATTTATTAAATAATCCATCATTTCCCAAGATAGATATTAACATCATATGTTAAATTCTAAATGTATTTTCTTGTTATGGGGAAGTTTTCAAGCATGGCATATTCCCATAAAAGAAATAAATAGGAAGTATTTAGATTTTATTATGTAAAAATTAAAAGTTGATGTCAGAAAACACTATAGGCAAATTTAAAAGGAAAAATGATAAACTGAAGAAGATATTTGTAATATACATGTGGCAGAGTTAATAATCTTAATGTATGAAGAATATCAGATATTAACAAAAATAAAACAACTCAGTAGAAAAATAGCAAAAGACATGAACAAACATTTCACAAATGGCCAATAAACACGTTTTTCAATGTTCATTCTCACTAGGATCACAGAAATCTGACTGAAAAAGTGAGGTATCACTTTTTGTTCATCATACTGGTAAAGATTTTTCAAAAGATTCATTATCCAGTGTTGGCACCTTTGGTGGGGGGCAGGATGGCAGGTTTGAGGAAACAGGTGAAAGTAAAGTAAACATGGGAGCAGGCTGCCTAGAGACACCTATGCCTGCTGGGCACCAAGGCGGGCTGCGCTAGTGTTGGAGACAATGATTGTAGTGATTCCAGTCTGCAGAGTTACGCGGTTTTCTTGAGCAGTGCTCAGCAGCCACAGTAGACAAAGGAGCAACTGAAAACTTGAATTAATCTAGGGTGGTTTTACAAAGTTGAGTGTGGTAAAATAACAAGGAGGCGGCAAGAGATTTTACGCCAAGATAATGATGGAGTACGGGCTAGCAGAAAATGAATGAAACCAGTCATTCACGACACTGGTATTTATTGAGCCCCCCGTGAGCTGGCATATAGAAGAAATAATTATTTTTGTATATTGATCTTGTCACAAACTACCTTACTAAATGTATTTACTCGTCCTACAGCTTTTTCACTTGACTCTCTTGGGTTTTCAAAGTAGACAATCAGATTATCCATAAATAATCTAATGTTTCCTGCTTTGGAATATTTATATCTCTTCTTTCTTTACCTGGTGTTTCCACCATGGTTATTATTTAAATGTTTACTGGCAAGTTTCCTGTCTTGTTCCTGACTTAAATAGAAATGCACCACTAATGTTTCTATGTTAATTATGATGTTGGCAGTTAGTTTTATTTATCTTCATATGGTTAAGGAATTATTCTTTAATTACTTGTTTACTAAAAATTTTCCCCTAAAATTTTATCAAATATCAAAATATAAGATTATCTTAACTTTGATCTATTTATATTACTATATTTCCTAACACTGAAACATTCTTATATTTATTCCTAGAATAAACCATACTTGATTTTAATATACTACTACATTTGACCTGATAGTATTTTTAACTGTTTTTACTTTTTTTAAAACTTAAATGTGACTGAATTGTGGCCTTGGCTTTTGTACTATCTCTAAAAGGCTTTTATGTCAGCATTATACTACCTAAAAGGATTAGGGAAGAGTCATGGATTGAATTATGTCTCCCAAAAAATGTGTGTATCAATTTGGCTGGGCCATGATTCCCGGTATTATGTGATTTTCCTATATGTTGTAAATTCTGCCTCTATAATGTTAATGAGGGAGGATGGGTGGCCGTTGTGTTAGAAGGCAGGACTCTGTCTACAAGATTGGATTGTGTCCTGAGGCAATCTCTTGAGATATAAAAGAGAGAAGCGAGCAGAGAGACATGAGGGACCTCATACTACCAAGAAAGCAGTGCCAGGAGCAGAGCGTGTCCTTTGGACCCAGGGTCCCCGTGTGGAGAAGCTCCTAGTCTGGGGGAACACTGATGAGAAGGCCGACAAAGAGAGAAAGCCCTTCCCCGGAGCTGATGCCCTGAATCTGGACTTTTAGCCTACTTCGCAGTGAAGAAATAAATTTCTCTTTGTTAAGGCCATCTACTTGTGGTAGCAGCACTAGATGACTAAGACAGGAAGCTTTCCATATTTTTCCATGTTCTGGAGAACTGTCTGTTTTTCAGAGGTATGAATAAAGCTGTCTGTATAATCTGAACTAGGCCTATCAGTGTGTTCTTTCATAGTTTTTCTTTCCTACTTAGTCGTATTCAAGTTTGCCACTTCTTTCTGAATCAATTTTTGTCAATTTATGTTGTCTTAAAAGTTATTCTTTTTATTCAAATATTCAGACTATTTTAGCAGAGGATTATATATGATATTCTCTAAAAAGTTTTAATATCTGTGGCTACTGTTTCTCACTTCTGATGTAATAATTTTAAGTTTTCTCCCTTTTTTCCTTGATTAGACTTGATAAAATGTTGTCAATTTTGTTGATCTTTTCAACAAATTAATTGTTTTTCAACTTTCCAATTTATCAGACAAATTTAGTTCCATTCTTTCTATTTACCATAAATTTGTTTTTTCTCTTCTAAATTTCTTTATATGAATGCCTAGCAAATTTTACTCAGTCTTTAGTCCCATACAGTTATCCAATCAGTGTAGCTTTGGGTCTCAGGCTTCTCTATGCACCTTTCCATACACTGACCCCACTACATAAGTGAAACTGTCTTCACTAAGGTCACAGATCATCCCTGGATTGCCACAGACAACAAACTTGCTCTCCTTATCCTACTAGAATTCTCTATATAGCATTTGTCATTATTAACCATGCCCTATTTCTGGAAACTTTATTTTCTCTTGACTTCTCTGACAAAACCCTCCCTCATTTTTCTCCTGCCTGCTAGCCAGTCCCTCTCAGTACCCTACAAAGGTTTCTTTTCTCCTCTTTAATGTCAATGTTTCCAAAGACTCTTATAAAATATGTTATAAAACATGATTCCTGGTGACCTCATTCACATCCGTGGATTCAACTATCTCTTCTATAAAAACTCTCTAAACCCATATGTCTAGCTCCCTACTACATCACACTGATTCTAGAAGGTATTTCATAAGTACCTCAAACTCAGCTTATCTAAAACTAATATCATAATCTTCATCCCCAAATTTTATCCTTTTTCTGTATTCTAGATAATAGTGATCAGTGTCAAGATTCCCATGTTGGTAACCTGGGAATTATACTAGACTCTTCCCTCTCACTCATAACCACTCAATCACTAAGTTCTGAAGGTTCCAACTCTCCACCTCAAGAACCTGTCTTTCATAGCTATTCGCAGAGTCTCTGTCTTAGATCATTCATCTTCACATAAACTATTTCAATACTCCCCTACCCCTAACTACCGCATCTCCAACTGGCCTAAGCAAAAAATCTGTTTACTGGTTCCCCATAGCTTGTGTTCTAGCATATTCTACTTGTTTCCTCTACTTAGAATGACCTCTACACACTCCCTTCTTCACCTATCTAAATCCGTAAGTCCTATTCCCTTCCTCTCTGGAAAGAATACGTAGACTGCTACGTATACTTCTCCTCTGTGCTATCAAGCATCCTGGGCACATGTCTTTCATAACACATGAAATGCTGTACTAATTACTCATTTATCTGACCATCTTTCTCTAAAGGAGACACAACCTGAAGCCAGCAGACCTTGATACGTTAATTATCTGCTAACAAACACATGTGACAGTTAACATGTCTGTTCATGCTCAATATTTGCATCATGTAGGAATTATTTTAAAAGAATTCAGTTGAGATAAGAATTCTGTCTAGATAGGAGAGATATATACCCATCGAGAACTGATTTTTAGTATACTTCAGTACAAACAGAAATAAAGCAAGAAAAAATATAAAGCAGATTCTATAGTTACACAAATAACAGGTTGTTATTTCAAAAGAATTTGAGTTGTGCATGGAGGTCCGGAAGCAAAATCAAGGGTTTTCCAAGTTCACAAAAGGAGCCCTGATGGCACAGTGGTTAAAGTGCTTGGCTGCTAACCAAAAGGTCGGTGGTTTGAACCCATGGCAGTCTGCTCCCATAAAGATTTACACTCTTGGAAACCCTATGGGGCAGTTATACTCTGTCCAACAGGGTCACTATAAGTAGGAATTGACTCGATGGCAGTGGGTTTGGTTTTGGTTTTTTGAGTTTAAGGAAGTGAAGATTAACCAGGTACCCTAGACTGGATAGTTACTATTTTATACCATATTACAAAATCCTAATACAGTCAACCCATTAAACAGAGAAGTATGATTTAAAAAAAAAAAAAAAGAGCTAGCCATGTGATACATCCTTGAAAAGCCTGAGTTTTCAATAATGAAGTAAAAATAAAGAAGGATTTGATCACTGTAAACCCATTCCTTAAGGTTCTGACTCAACACACTGCTCAAATTAAAATATTAGCTCTCACAAAACTCCTGCAGGTTTTGGGTTTTTTTTTGGTAGGGTGTTTTTGCTTTTTTGCCCTAATAATTAATTGTAGCAGGTAACTCAGAACAGTAAAAATTTGATAAGGACAAAGCTGGGACGTCAAAGGGTAAAAATACAAGCTGTTTAAGAACAACACTTCATGAGAGTTCCAGTTTTCCAATCTGTATATCATTTTAATTACCACCTAAATATAGTGAGTTTGCCTTAGTTACACATTTTTGGTTATAGAAAAATGGCAGAGAATCAGGGCTTAAGGATTCTACCTCCAATTATGACTCAATGTTATACTGTTTTGGAACACAGACTATAAGTCATGTTAAAATGAATTCTGCTGTTCAGAGGAAGAACTCAAAAGAGCACTGTATCAAATGGGGAAAAAATCATCACCTATGCAAAAATATTAAAATGACATCTCTAAATGTGAAAGATTCACATTCACATACTTTAAGAATTGTATTTTTGAAACATACCTTGTCCATTAATTTACTTGCATGAAGACTCAAGCTATTAAAGAATATTTTTTTGCTTAGCAAATGCATTTCTTCAATAGTAGTCAGCAAGGTGGCTGCACTATTTCCAACAATGCCACTGAAAGCAAAAATATTTCAAATTGTAAACAAGCTGAAAAATTTCAGTTCTTTACATGAGTATAATGCTTTAAAAAGATCTAGATTTACATAAAAGTTTTTATGTAGAAGACAATCATAAATTGAAAACAACTGCTCCAGTTTCACAGAAAAATGTCAGTTTTTTTTTTTTCCGTTTGAGCTAAGTGATGAAAAATGAAAACTACTATGCTTTCTGTATTTCACAATATCTTTAACAAAACTGTAGGTCAGAACAGACAGTCATAATATGCACACTCATAGCTATACTTTTCCTCTACAGCAGTAGACTTATATCCTAAGTATCCACAAAATATTTAATGTTAATTCTAAGAAAGTCATTCAATCAACAGCTCCATCAAATATTTTTCTTTATTGTGTATATATTTTAAAATATTTTACACTGTTATCATACTTAAATATTTGAAAATAAAATACTTAAATTTTATTAATACTGAGTTATTCTTTTAATTAAAACTGTTATACCCTATCAACAGCTTATTTATGTAGTTTCTCAATTTTACAAAGCTGCCTAAGTGGCAATACATTTGGACTAATTATGAAAAACTGGATATTTTGAAATAATTATACTGGCACATTCTATATTCCTCACTTTGCTATTATGAGGGTATTTTTAGACCTCATCCACGGTTTCCCATTTGCGCCAGGATGTAAGTCAAGCATGTACATAAAATAATTTCCAATTTTATTTGTCTAATCCTTCTAATTCATGTACTAAAAGTAATTTTAAAATAATTTTTAAGAGAAGAATTTTTGTGGATGCAAAAATACACTGTAATCTAGTAAAAATCACACTTTCTGAAGGCACAAAAACATCTTACTATACATAAAAAAAAGTAGACTGCTGAAGATAAATATAATGGCATTACTAAATACTGGTAAATAGCTAGCTAAAAACACAGAAAATAACTGATAAGTGATATATCGCACATGATATAAAAGCAAATATCAATATCATATATATTTCAGTACATTCTGAAACTATAATGAATTTGAATGAATTCCTATATAGTTCATGAAGACAAAGCAAATTATCAGTAAAAAGAAACATATAAAGCCAACAGCAAAATACAAAATCCTAAATACGTAGCCATAATACTTGCATTTTAAAAAAACAAAAAAAGCATTTCAGTAAAAAACAGTATAAACCAAACACCAAAATAAACTGGAAGGCATTCAAACGCACATGTATGCATGCAATGAAAACAAGTATTTCCCTGAATAAAAGCATGCATCAAGCAACAGAGAAAGAAAATTGAATGAACGCAAATATAAACTGGTATTTTAATAAAAACTTTTGAGACATTCAGATACACTTTGATTTTTTAAAATAGGAATTATCAGTTGTATTTTGCAATTATTCATATCTCAAATTTGCTAATGTTTATTCAGTACTAATGAGGTACCAAAATTGGGCTAGATACTTTTAGATGTTTCTTCTGGTATTTCACTCCATACTTCTCCCAACATGCTTATAATTCCATTACTTGAATTTTGCAGTTTTAGGTATGTAAGATACAGTAATGAACTGTCTGAATTCATGAGGGATAAGAATCAGCATCAAGCTGGTTCTGATGAGGCGGATGGCAAGCAAACGTCCACCTTCCCACTTCTCCATTATTTCTGACACCAGCCACTCCTACCACGGCACTCTCTACTTCTCTGCAGGATTCAATAATCCGTGGCAATGGTCACACAGAAATCACAGGCCATACTCACAGTTATGTGGCTTATTACGGAAGTAACAAGCTACAACTCAGAATCAGAATCGAATTAGAAGTAATAGCAACAACTCAGGATCAGGATCAGGATCAGTATCAGGAGGCACACAGACAAGGTCTGGAAAGGTCCCCAAAGTGGACAGCCCATTCCTCCCTTCTTCAGTGCAGCACAGCTTCTAAGGAGGACAACTCTCAGAGCAAAAACGCTCATGGAGCAGATAAGCTCTCCATTGGAAGAGTTCTAAGACCGTTCTCGGCTGGTGCCACTGCCCTCGCCAGCCATCAGTAGGTGTGACTTCTATGCTGGGCAGCTGCCTTTCCTGCCAGGTGGATGCTCCAATTCAGCTTCTCTGCCTTCTGCCTTCTATGGGCAGGCCTCTCCACTGTTGGCCTCTATACCGTCCAGCTCTCTGCTGTCAGGCTCCCCACCAGGAGTATCTCTGCCACTGGCCTTTTCATCACTAACTGGCCCAGCTCCTAGCCAGTGTAGCAGCTTGCTCAGCTTTCTCAGCTGCTGCTCTCCTAGCAGCAGCTCTCTGCCATCCATTGGGCCTTTCTGCTGCCAGGCCTCTTTCCTACCAGGCCCCTCTGCCACTGGGACCGTCTGCCATTGGGCCTCTCTGCCACTGGATGCTCTGCAATCAGGCTATCCACCAATGGCCTCTCTGTCTTCAGCCTTTCCACCACTGATGACCCAGCTCATATCCAGTGAAGCTGCTTCAGACCGCTCTGCTCATACTCAGCTCAGCTTCTCTGGAAGCCTAGCTCTTAGCCAGCAGCTCTCTCAACTGCGGCTGTTTTTTACCAGGTGTGGGAGGGTCTCAAGCACAGGACCACCTTGTCCCAAAGGGCACACTCCCCTCCTGGCTCCTGTCAACCAGACAGCCTTTAAAACCTCTCTGTTTTAGCCCTTTATATAGTCAATCACCAGGCAAAGCCTCCCTCCAGACCAGAGTTTAACCAATCCTCAATTACACATGAGATGTCAATCAACTCAGGTCTTTTATAAAAGTAACATTTTCTGCCAGCAGAGTCTGGCTCCTCTGCTGGGAAGCAACAAACCCTTTGAGGTAGAAAGTACCCTGGAAGGGCCCCCAAATTACTTCTCCTAAGAACTAGGGCAAAGGCAACAACTCCCCAGGGCTTAGGGGAAAGATCTCTCAAGCTGTTTTTCCAAAGAACCAAGGCAAACGGCCATATAAAGGAACTCACTGCATTGCCAGGTATTACATACAAATTCCCTGATACAGAAGGTGAGAGTCAAGCTCTCTTACACAATGTTCCTCTGCTACCACAACATACCCACAGACTTCACCTCCCCAGGCTTCCCAACACAGGCCTATCACAAGGTTCTGGTAAATAAATACTCAACGTGTACATTTACATTATAAGAATGCAAATATTATTTAGACTTGACCATGGAATCAGGGAATTCAATACCAGGGAACAAGCAGGCTGGTAAAGAAGATAAGCCCCAGCAGACAGTCATGCAGTAAGCCTAGAGAACAACCAGTCTAGACTGGAGAAGGAAAGTGGAGGGTAGCAAGAGGGATTTCAGATGGGAAGGAGGGTGGGTGGGTTACTTGATGTGTGAGAAAATATGCAGCAGGATGATAAAATCAGAGCAGAGGAGGTAGATAGACACACTTCCACTTAAGAGTTTGGGTTTAAAATAGCAGTAAGACCATGGGAAGGTAAGCAACCACAGAATAAAGTAATATTAACTCCAGGGAGAAAATAGAATCAAAATAATGCTGGATTTTCTGTTTCCTGGGTCCCTCACTTTCCGTTTTTTTTGTGTGTGTACTACTGCCTTTTGATGAAACCACCATCTAGCTTCATTGTATAAAACCTGTCGCTGTCGAGTCGATTCTGACTCATAGCGACCCTAGAGGAGAGGGTAGAATTGCCCAATAGGGTTTCCAAGGTTGTAATCTTTACAGAAGCAGACTGCCACATCTTCCTCCCACGGAGTGGCTGGTGGGTTCAAACCGTCCTTTAAGATAGCAGCCAAGCACTTAACCACTGCACCACCAAGGCTCCTTTACCGTATAGGAGGAAAAATTTTTTGAGATCTTGATTGTCTCCTGTTTTTCCCCAAATTCTCTGGCTAATTCTTAACATTCTTTGTGGGTTCCTCTTCTTCTTGACCACTAAATGCTGGAGCTTCCCATGACTCAGTCCTTGGCCTTCTTCTTTACCTACACCCACTCCCTAGGTTATTCCATCTAGTTCCATGGCTTCAAATATCTTCTACAGCTGAAAACTACCACACTGGGTTTCAGCTCTGACCTCTGTGTTATCTACTGTGTGTTATCTACTGTGTTATCTACTCAACATCTCCCACTGTATGTTCACAGGCACATCAAACCTGATACAGCCAAAAGTGAACTCTTCATTACCAGTCCACCACCATCAACCTGTTCCTCTCCAGTATTCCTCAATTCAGGAAGCAGCAACACCATTCACCCAGTTATTCAAACCAAAGGCCAAGAATCCATCCTTGACTCCTCTTCCTTTCACATCTCACTCCATCTAATCTATACTATATGTCATACTGGCTCTAAAATAAAATATATCCTGAATCAACTACTTGTCAACACCGCCATGACCATCATCCTAATCGAACTCATCATTATCTCTGTTCATAATTACAAAGTGCTTCCTAAATATCTTCCTTGCTTCTGCTTTTGCCACCCCCCACATTCCACTATACACAAAATTTTCAGAGTAACCTTGTATCATATATCAGCTCAAACCTTCCCATGTCTTCCCCAACTCACTCAATATTAAATCTAAATCGTCACCATGGTCTACAAAATCTTACATGATATGGCCTTTGCCTACCTCTCTGATTTCATCTCCCCTTAATCCTTCCAATTCATTCAACTCCAACCACTGGACCTCCTCCTAGTCCTTCAACAAGCAAGCTTTTCCTGGCCTGAGGGCCAGAGTGTACCTCTGCCTGGGACACTGTGAGATCTTCTCATGCCCAGCTCCTTCACATTATTCAGGTCTCAGTTCAAATATTACCACCAAAATGCCTTCAAAAATAAGTCTCTCTCTCACACACACACATAACACACACCTACTCAAACATGGCCACTGTCTATAATTTCTATTTCCTTTCTCGTTTATTTTTCTTTAATGCCCTTATCACTATCTAAAATTATCTTATTTTATACTTATTCAATTGTTTGTCTCCTCTATTAGAATGTGAGCTTAAGCTCTGTTTTGTTCACTGCTATTTCCTTAGCACCTAGAAGACTAACATGTATACAGTCAATTTTAAATTGAATAAATGAGAAAATGTGTGAACCAGTAACAAAGGTACATGAAAAAAATGTATCAAAAGTAATTGTCATCCTCAATATTATCTTCAAAGACAGAAAAATTATAATTCTCAGAGTCCAAATGATTCTATTCCAGCACTCTCTACATTAGAAACAGAGTTGTCATTATGTTCAAATAACAAATTTCATGCAGTACCATCATGGGCATTACTAAATAGATTATGTAAAAATGATTCTACCACTTCTTTTCATAACACAGCATTTTCTATGGTATGTCCAGCTTTCAGCTGATCTTGTTCTTCTAAGTACCTATCATTCTCTTATTTCAGGAAGCATGTAACATTGCAGTTGAACCTAATTTACTGCTTTGAGTCATGGAGAATGGTGATAAAGCATTTATATCTAAAATGTTAGGGAACTAACCCAAACTCTGTCTCTGATCAGTTTTGTAGCCTGTGGCTTGTTAAGTTTTGTTTGAAAATCTACCAGTAGGATATGAAGCTTATCTGTTAGCTGTGATGTGTCTGGTGTCTACTCTGAGCTACTAGGGGGAAGGTAACATCGTTGCTGTAGTCTTGGTGCCCAGTGAACTACTGGCCCGTACACCTCTCCCAGATCTCTTATAACCCTACTGGCCTTTAACACTTGACTTTCTATTCCTGATACTGGCACCCTAGATAAAAAGTAAGTTTTAAAATCATTTTTTAATAGAAAAATATGGAACTATCAAAAATACAGCATTGAAGGATATTGTTTAACCCACCTACACGTATAACATGGTCTTACAGTGACATTTTAATAAAGCCCAAGTATATACTACCAACAAATATCCACAATGCAAAAACTGGAGTCAAAGATCACATTTTACATAAGGCAAGTGGTTCCTAATACCATAAAGTAGCATTTATTTAGAGAAGCTACTTTATCACTGATAGAAAACTAAATGCTAAAGAAGGAATTAGGTTACTTACATCCAGAATAAGATGTTTCACTCATTATACCCTATTGAGTACAATATATAGTTGCTTTAGTTGCCACAGATCTCTTACAAATTCAGGAAGACTCAACAAATACTTACTTTATAATGTTCTATCAGGGGTGTGTGTGTGCGTGCGTGCGTGTGTGCGTGTGTGTGTAGTTATACAGTAGTACCCCCTTATCTGTGAGGGATATGTTCCAAGACCCCCCATGGATGCCTGAAACCACGGATAGTACTAAACCCTATGCATACTATGTTTTGTCCTATACATACATACTTATGATAAAGTTTAATCTTTAAGTTATGCACAGTAAGACATTAACAGTTGAACAATTATAACAATATACTATAATAAAAGTTATGTGAATGTGGTCCCTGAGCAGGATGGAGCTGGACAGCGCAAGATTTCATCATGCTACTCATTTAACCCTTTCGGATAGTGGTTGACCACAGGTAACTGAAACCGTGTAAAGCAAAACCACGGATAAGCGGGGACTACTGCACTTGGAGAAGGAAGAAAAAAGGAAATGACAGAAGTTTCGCTTGTTATACTTAGTCATACACAAGATGAAAACAAAATAATCTTACACTGTGTTCAAAGTTAAATGAGCTATCATAGGGGATTTAACAAGCATGTTTCGCTATTTCACTTACCTAATTGTATGGTGGTAAAACTTGAGGAGATTAGAAATTTTATATAATAAAACTGCCCCAGGTTCAGCAACTATTACTTGCTCAATTCGAACCTATTAAAAAAAAGTGAGAAATTAAACATTTCTTAAAAGCATAACTTTTCTTCATTAATCACATGTAGTATAAATAGCATTTAAAAATAAAAATTTACTGCAGAAATCACAAAATGCCTCCTATAGAATTTCAAAGTATTAGGTCATGGAACGTAAAACAACAGGAACACTTTAGCACAGATCAACTCCACAAACAATAATCCATTTCCTGGAGAATCTGGCTCACGGCCGCTGTTACCAGAAATATCAACACAATGAGATCATTGCTGGGGTCTATCACCAGGACGTAACAGAATTCATTCAGCACTAAACTGCAAAAGCAGCTGCTACGAAAACAGGTTATCAGGGCAATATACTGCCCTATCACCAAATCTTCAGAAGTGATGAAAGAATTCTGGTCTTGAAACTATTAAACCAAATTTCTTTTGACTATTAATCCCAGAATAGGAAAGCAGACAAATGTTAAATTAGCACCAATATATTTGTATAATTATAAGGTTAGCAGGGTAAAATCAGATCTAGTACAAAGTTAAACTTGATCTACCTCAACTTAACTATCAGGAATTTTTCCAAATTAAACTCCATCCCTCACTGATCTTTCCCTTACTTTACAGTCCCTCACTAATGAACACCATCTAAAGTACACTGGTATGTACTTATTTACATACTGCATTATATCTACTGCCTACATTGTATCTTATTGCTTTCCTAACTAGATACTAAATACAAACACAGACATTGTGTTTTCTGCTTCTTTTACATCTCTGCAGCATCTGGTAGAACAGTACATACACAAGAGATGTTTAATAAGTGCTTCTGAAAGTTGAAGTTTCTCTGTACTTAGATTTTGGCATATGTCATAATGCCAACAAACTGATTTGCTAAAACAAGATTTTATAAATGCATTTTTTCAGCATACAAAATCCTCTTACAGAAAATTAATTTACAAAACGAATACATTTTGGCATAAAGCAATAGACTGGAAAACTACTACAATGCTATCAATCATTAGCGGCATTTAAACTTAAAAATCATAATTTTCACTTCACTGTTTCTTTTAGGCCCAAGCCCTCAACAGTAATTTAAATTATATATCGTATCAATAACTGATCGTTTCAGAATTTCAATATAATTTTGGGGCAAAACATAAAGGGCGTTAACTGTAGAAGGCAGTTCTTCTTTAGCAGATTAACACCATTTCAGCTATCTGGCAACGTGCCTTCTAGAATTTCTAGGCATCGAGAAAATAACTCTTCATTCCCACTCCCTTAAGAAAGGAGGAGAGAAAGGGGGGAAGGGAGGGAAAAGAGGGAAGAAAAAGAAAGTAACTAAGGGTAGAAAGAAGGAAGGAAGAGGAAAGGAAGAGAAAAACTCCCACCTCCTCACACATGGAGGCTTTGAGGGAAAGTCGCATCCTTTCCGCTGCAATAACACAACAAAGAAAGGCTAAGGCGCCAGCAGACTTAGACACAACACACCAAGATCGGTTAATCTGCCAGACAGAAACACTGTCTTAGGAGAGCTATACGAGAGACCAAACATTTTCAGCAAAAGCTATGAGGCCAGGGAAATAATAAAAATAACAAAGTAAAAGGCTAGAAGACACTAAAGAAGTGGCAGCAGCAACAACTAACTAAAAATTGCAATGGCAGTGGAGAGAAACAATTATTAACAGAGCTTAAAAGTGATGCTGGGAATAATGGCTCAGACAGAAAGTGCTCGGAACAGTCCCTGGCACATAAGTACTCAATAAATCTCAACTCTATTACTAGAAGCAGCAGAGATAATATAAAAGACAGACAGAAATGAAAAGTAGCAAAATGGACTACAGGCAATCCGACAGCACAAAAAAAGACAGGGAAGAGATAAGGAAAAAAAAAAAACAGAGAGAGGGGTGGTTCTCCTCTCCAGTTAGAGAGAGAGAGAGCTAGAGCTGTACCTTAGAGAGAATTTGTGTTGATGAGGGAGGGGACAAAGGGGGAAGGGAAAACGGAAAGGGAAAATGGCAAAGCTTCTTCACCTTAACATCAGAGACAGCTGCTTAGAGTGATTATTCGTTCCCCAGTATAGTTCAATGGGCCCTGGTCACGCAGTGGTTAAGAGCTCGGCTGCTAACCAAAAGGTCGGCAGTTTGAATCCACCAGCCACTCCTAGGAAATCCTATGGGGCAGTTCTACTCTGTCCTATAGGGTCACTGTGAGTCCGAATCCACTCGACAGCAAAAGGTTTGGTTTTCCTTTCTTTTTTTTTGGTTTTGTAGTTCAATGGAGCCCTGGTGGTACGGTGGTTAAGAGAAGCTCAACTGCTAACCAAAAGGTCAGCAGTTTGAATCCAACCAGCCACTCCTTGTAAATCCTATGGGGCAGTTCTACTCTGTCCTATAGGGTCAGTATAAGTCGAACTCAACTCGATGGCAACAGGTTTCATTTGGTTTTGGACAGTTCAACAGTCTGAGGGCACAATGATTGTATTATACAATACAGTACTCAGCTTTATTTTCCACATCACTTTTTTTTTATATACAGCTATTTTCATAAAACCCAACATCATTTTAGAAGGTCAGGAAGCATATAATACACTAAAGTTTTTACTGAAAGAAAATTCAAACGTTAGCCAGTAATCTCTCAGCAATCTAGAATGTTCACATAAAAGAAGGGTCAATTTACCCAATGAACATGTAAACACAAAGATTTAATATATTAATTCTGATGTTTCTATCTACAGTTGTGTGGTGAAGATACCTCTATAGTAATAGACTTGATGGTGACAATCCATAGTATCCTCTCCATAAATAAATAATTTCATCTATATGTAATTTTAAGCCTAGAGCACAGATTTTTAAAACTGGAAATAACTTTAAAGTTCATATCTGAATGTATACATTTACAACTATTTATTCTACTATATTTCAATTATTAAGACAAATAAAAGGTTAAATAAAGGATAAACCAAAAAAAACAAACTTCTTGCTGTCGAGTCAATTCTGACTCACAGTGACCCTATAGGATAGAGTTGAACTGCCCCATAGGGTTTCCATGGAACGCCTGGTGGATTTGAACTGCCAACCTTTTGGGTGGCAGCCATAGCTCTTAGCCACTACGCCACCAGGGTTTCCAAATAAGGGACAGAGTAAAACAAATATATAGTACATCAACAAGAGCTCCCACTACTATTGCCAATTTCTCTTCATGCTTCTAAAAATCAAAATCTCCTGAATTAAAAATTACTCATTCCTACAAAGAAAAGGCTAAGTGACAGCAGCTTATCCAAATCATCCATATCATGAATCATTAGTAAAAGATTAGTGGTTTATCAATTAGAAGGATGACATTTTATACCAACGGAATGTAAAAGTAAACGTATCACTAAGTGTGATGGTGAAGATTGTGTCAACTTGGCTGGGCCATGATTCTCAGTGTTTACATGTTATCATGCCCATGATTAAATCTGTTGTGAGTAGCCAATCAGTTGGAAGGGAGTTTCCTTGGGGGTGTGGCCTGCATCCGAATATAAGCAGAAGTTCTGGCCTTTTGCTCGCTCTGGCTCCTGTGGCTGCTTCCTGTTCATCTTGGGACTTAAGCTATCAGCTTATCTGCCAATCTTGGGATTCACTGATCTTCACAGACCGTGAGTGGGAGCCCTGCTCTCTGACCTGCCAATCTTGGGTTTGCCAGCCCCCGCAGCTATGTGAATCAGGAGAAGCCTTGCAGTCTTCCTGTCAATCTTGGGATTCATCGATCTTCACAGCCTGTGAGCAAGAGCCCTGTTCTCCGACCTGTCGATCTCGGGCTCGCCAGCCCCTGAGGCCACGTGAATCCTGAGAAGGCTCTATTCTGATCCATGGACTTGGGATGTTCCAGCCTCTACAATCGCGTCGGCCGTTTCCTTGATATAAATCTCTCTCTAAATATATTTATATGCTTTACTGGTTTTGCTTTTCTAGAGAACCCAGCCTAAGACACTAAGAAAAATAATCGGAATTATAATTGCAAAAGAAAATATTAAAGTAAATTTTTCTTCTCAGCTAGGAACTATATCACTGAAAATATCAGATACCTAAGTTAAGTCATAAAGGAAGAAAAGCCTTAAAATAGTTTAGCACTGTACATCACTATCAAGCTAACGTGATATGTAACTACTCTAAACACCTGTTAAATATTGTCTGAAGTAGGCAATACATGTTACCGTTATGTGGAAAAACTTCACGTTTCTATCACTTCAGGAACTAAAGGGATTTTTCTTCCTTACCATAAAAAGATTTTTGCTTCCTAACAACAAAGAACGCACAGCCCGCCTGCTCAGACATAACCAAATAAAAAAAAAAAAGCAGGATGAAACAAATCTGTAATCAATAAATGAGGAAAATAACCACTGAATGCCCCAAAGACAGCAGACAACATCAAAACATTTACAAAAATAGGACAAGATGGTTCCAGTAGGGGTCCAAAATAAAACACTGGATGATCTTCCAGTAGAAGAAAAGGTACTACACCTAACTGATAGGGAATTCAAATCCCTAATATTCAGAATTATCCAAGGGTTTAAACAATAAGCAGACAAAAATGAAGAAAAAAATAGACAAATTCATGGAAAAGGCAGACAAATTCATGGAAAATACAAACAAAAAAATGGAATAATTCAAGAAATTAACACAGGAACAAAAATGCTAAAATAAATTCACACCTAGAAATTATACAAAAACAACAATTAGAAATCCAAAAGATGAACAACAAGATTTCAAAAATGGACAGTGTCATAGAAGGGCTGAGGAGCAGGTTTAAACGATGGAAGACAGGATCAGCGAAATTGAAGACAAACACTTGGATACAACTGTTTGAGGAAAAATCAGAAAAAAGAACAAAGAAAAATGAAGAAACCCTGAGTATCATGTGGGATACAATCAAAAGCAAAACTCTGCGAGTGATCAGAGTTTCCAAACGGGGAGAAAACAGAAAACACAGAGAGGATCACTGAAGAATTGCTGACAGAAAACTACCCCA